CACACCCAACATCTGCGTGGAACTGGAATAGTGAGACTGCGGGACAGAGATGGCAAGTGAGCGCCAGAGAGAGACAGACAGAGAGAGAGAGAGAGAAAGAGAGAGATGAAAACAGAGAGATCCCGAGACCTCTTGAAACTTGGAAGTCACAGAGAAAGGGGGTCGTCCTGGTAACGCCCTCACATTACGCATAAATTTTGCACTTTACAAATTTGCCACGCGCACGTTTGCGGCATTTTGTATAACATTTACACAGCTAGACAGGGACGGTGACAGAGAGCAAGTGGGAGAGATAGAGAGGGGCGGAGGAGGAAAATTAGGAGGGTTCGGGGTAAGTACATATGTAAAACGTGCGCCATTTGTCAGGCAGACAGGCGGCGCAAGGTGACAGTGCTCAAGGGCCTCGGAAAACTATTACTAAGCCTCCAGCTATTAAAGCCAGCTTTAAATACTCTTTTTTAATTAAAAATTTTTCTAACAGAGACTAGTTCTGAAAGTTGAAAATAAGTCTTATTAGATATGTTAAAAGTGAAAAGTAAATAAAACATTTATAAATTTATAAAAAATTAGAAACTAAAAATAATAAAAAGTAATGCAAGTTGAATAATTATAACAATAAAGAAACTCATATTTTATTGTTTTAATAGAAGCAACATAAGCAATACATTCATGAATAATACCACTGGAAATAAAAAAAAATAATAAAATATTTATTATATTTTTATTTAAGCAAATTATTAATATACCCTCTTTTATTATTTAATGTTAAGAAAGAACAAAGTCCTTTACAGTGAACAACTTTCCTATATGCCCTTCAAGGCGTAAAAAGCACGAACATATCTCCTATGGCATAGAGGATAATGAGCTAGGCCAGAATGCTTGAAGCGCTGAAAACTCCGCACGTTATAACATCACTTATACGGTTTTCTATCTAACCCAAATGCCCCCTTCCCCCTCCCCACACACACACACACACATACACATACAGTTACATAACAAATTAGAATTGGATCCCACACACACACAAACACACACTCACTCGCACCTCTATCAGCCTGGCAACGCGGCGTATGCGTAATGCGTTACCCATGTGCAGATGTTGTTGCTGCTGCCAATGTTTCCCCTTGTACTACGTAGCCTGTGGTGCTTGTAAACTTGTAGTCCTGTCAAAATGTCAAAAATTTTCGAGGATAGTCCTGGCCCCACCTGCCCCGCCAGCCGACAACATCTTGGCACACTCTGAGCGATGAAAACGCGTAAAAAAAAAAATAAAAACGGTAGCCGAAAGTGTAATTGGGCGTCGCTCGGGTTAATAGAGGTTACGGCATGGGCGCGATATTTTCGACGATGTCCCGCCCCCGCCACTTAGTTTTAATTAGTGGCTTACATTTCATGCAAAAGATATGACGAAATTGGTAACCCAAAATGGAGCAGCCTCAAGTGAGGAGATGCGGAGCGAAGTGTTATAGGTGCTTAGACCTTGCTCAAATTATGTGCCCCAATTTAGAGGACGGTCTTATCTGGCGCTTAAGCTGTATAATTACAATAACACTATCGTGTGAGGAGTAAACTTTAAAATGGTTATGTTTTGTAAAGCTGGTATTGTATTTTATGTATTGTAATTTAAGGTGGAAAATTCAGTTTTTCGTAATAATTCTGTTGCCAAGGGCACTCGGATTTTTTGATGAATTTAATGTTATGTGTTATTGTTTGTATATTTCGTAAAATTAATTAAAAATTAATATGGTGTCCATTGCAATTTTGTAATAAAATCCTATCCAATTTCAATGTATGGATCGGGTATTTCTTTAGGCAAGTGCAAAATCTATCAGTTACAATACAATTTTAAACCATTAATAGTTTCTCACCATTTATTTAATTTCCAAAGACTCGGAATATATTTAATGTTCTTTATTTAAACCTCTTAGCTTTAACAATGTCAGAATCATCCTGTTTCCCTTCATTCAAAGCTCAATCACAATAGCAATGTTTCCATTGCTTCGTTTCCTTGTGCTCTCCTCCACTCGACATATTCCACTTTTTCATATATTTAAAAGGGACACCCACAGCGAACATTGCGGATCCCGCGACTACAACGTGTACATTTGTAATTACATGCAATTTATTAAAGTGTAAATACAACAGAAAAAAAACTTGTTTATTAACAATTATAAAGACAGTAAAAAACTCGACTCAGTGATGACCCGCGAAGCAAAAATAAATAGTTAAAAAGCGGTAAACTAGTTAGATATGCGAGGAAAATAGGCACTTTGAATAAAAGCCATTTATATTAAAAATTAATTGCAGAAACTCCAGTTTAAAAATGAAAACATTACATTTACAACTATGCTTGAATTTTAACATTTTTAATAAGAGGTCTGAGAGAAGTCAATCCAAATTTAAATATATTTAATTTCATTACTTTTATATTTCACGAGGCCTTATTGGACTAACATTTAATTTATTGAAATACATTTTTAAACTTCTAAGACTTTAACATAGGGCAGGTGGTTTCCATGTTATTTAAGATCGAGATTTTGATGGTCCCGAGCATTCTCGCTGCTACCCTTGAAAAGTTGGAAAATGATTCTCAAGGAACCGCAGCTAGAAGCGGCTATTACTTTCTCCTCAACCACCCAGAGCCTCACCCCTTTTAGCACAGGATGTGCGCAGACAACAGGCATTTAAATTGTCATGGCAAGCAGCCTAGACGACAGCAGACTACAAGGACACCCAGAAAGCTTGTCTCTGGTCCAAGAGGAGGAGTTGGATGGCGGCAGTATCAGGCTCAGGCAGGACGAAGGACGGAGGAGGCGTGCCCGCTTGGCTGTGCTTTTTGTGGGAGCTGGGACAAAAAAAATAAAAATATTACAATCTGACGGAGCACTGGAAAACATATTTACACCTTGTTGCCATATGCTTAATGAGCAAAAAAGGCAAGATAAGGGACAAAAGGTGGGTAGGGAAGGGGCCAGGCCGAGGAATGGGATCCTTCCTGGAGCTGCCTTGCAATTGTAATTTTTGTTAAATTAACACGTTGCCAACTGTTGCCAGACGGAGCAGGGCTGTGTCCCCTCCTCGCTTGTTGCCGGAAGTTGCCAAGTGGCGTCGGCATAAATTCAATTAGCAAAGTGGCGTCGAGTGGCGATGGCTTTAAGTAGCACACCAGAAACAGGTCCAGTTCCAGCTCTGAATCCACATAAACACCCATCTCCAGCTCCAGCTCCAGCTCTTTGTAGCCCAAAGTATTAGCTCTGTGCATGGCCATTCGCATTTCGTTAGCCTTTTTCGACTCACAATCAGCGCAGTGAAGCGCACATCCTGTCAGCCTGAATGATTGTCCGGGGCTGAGTCCCGTTCTTGATTTAAACCGAAACTGAAATGCACACAAATGGATTCCGAACTTGACCTCCTCAGCCCAGGCCCCTTCTATATGGGGTTTATCCAAGCCTGTTTCTATTATATTGTGAGTTTTATTTATACCCAGCAAAAGCAGAGGGTGAAATGTTCACTGTGGGAAAATCTAACAAAAATTCGTTGATTATCTCTTAATTCAAATGTAAAATTTAAGGGATTTTCTATCTAGTTTGGAGTAAACTAAAAATCAACAATAAAAATGGAATGTAATTATATTTAAACTTAAGAACAATCTATCCATTAAAAGTTTTATCTTCAAAGAATAAGTTTACAATATTTAAATTGTAAAGAAAACGGAACCTAATGAATTTAAATTACTTTTACTTATTCCAATTCTTAAATTCCGTGATAAATGTTTTTCCTGTCAGTGTTAGTTTCTTTTTCCATTTTACTGAAGTCAATTTTGGTTTTTCTTGCCGTGATTTGATATATGGGAAAGTGGCCTTCAGTGGATGGCCTTTGGGTTAGCGGGAACTGGGGTCGTGGTGATGATGGTTGAGATTGTGGTTCTGGGGCACTAGCCATTTATGCGCGGCCCGTTCGCCTGGCGACAACATCTTTTGATTTGCACCTGCAATTTGCTTGCGGCAACCACTAAAATGTGTCACTAAATGCTCAGCACGCGAAGCAACTCTGCACCCTGAATACGGTTCAAGCCAGCTTCCAAGCAGCCAGCAATCAACCGAACAAAACTCAACAATGCCGCGGGGTCGCCATGGTATAGAGTATTGATGATGGACAAGCTAGGCTAATACAAACTTTGTTTAGTTAATAACATAATTATATATTATTCAATTTATGTTATTCGGCATAAACTACTTTAAAAAGTGTTTAATAATCAATATGAATAAGAATTTTATTCCTAAATTATTTGTTTTAATAATATATTATCGTTTCCCTAGAGTAATAAATCAACAAACACTTATAATCTTTCCCTTTTTAAGGGTATTTGCTAAACAGCATATTGCAGCAGCTGCTGCTTGGCACTCTTGTACTTCGTAGTTGGTTATGCATTTGTTAAGCTCGCGAAAAGAAACTAGAAATTGCAACTCTCGCTTTCCCCATCTCTGGGCTTGAGCTCTGGCTTATGACGCTACAGCTACACGCCCAGTAATTGCCCCTGCACTTTGGTTGTAGTTGCTGTTCTTGGCCAACGTTTGCCGCATTCCGCGCGCTCCTCCGCCCCTCCGCCCCCCCAGAAAACTAGCTTGGCCCCATGGAGCCACTAAAAACAACCGCAACACAAAACTATTTTGTTCACGCAATGCGAAAATGCATTGTTGTTGGCGCTCCTGCCGCTGGCATTTGGCGTTACGTATACGCAACGTATGCCGGGGTGCAATTTGCATTTGTATGCACATTGTTGTTAAGTGGGCGGTGAGCGGTGGAATGGGTGTGGACTTTTGTTGGTTTCGCTTGTAATTGCTTTAAACGTCATCATCACAGCCTCTTGCTCTTGCTCCGCAGCTGAATGCATTTATTGGCCTTATTGTTGGACCTGCACTTGCCAGCTTGCCCCTTTGTTTGGCCCGTTGTTGAAGTTTATTAAATTTCGCTTTGATTTAGCAATCAATATTCAATTCAGTTTTGGCATTGTTACAAAATTGTTGTGGAAAGCTTATTAGACAATCTAATGTAATGAATAATCCGTGGCGAGAAATGGGCTTTATTGCCAAGCGAAGGCCGAAAGTTCATTTGAAAATCGTGCAGATCAAGAAGCGCCTAAACAAAACAACACAAAAGTTTAAAGAGAATCGAGAGAAACTAATCGAGCTGAAATTAAGAAATCGCATTAAGAAATTGGTAATCGAAGAGCTGGAAAACAAAGTGAATCAAATAGAACTCTGGAGAAGGGGAAAACAATTAAAAAATAGAAAATCATCAAAAACAATCCAATAATTAATATTTGAAATCGCATAATACGTATCGCATAATAGGTAAATGTAAGGAAATTTATATAAAATATAAATTCACAAATAAGACATAACCAATATCAAATTTTAAGGAAAATTTAAGAAGCCAAATTAAAGCAACTTTACAACTTTAAGCAAAGCCAAAGTCCCTGGAAAGCCAAATCAATTTCCTTTCATTTTTTCCTTTTGCCACTGCACTCTGACTATGAACATTTTCAAATAAACTTTCGTAGGGCAGCCGCCGCCACAAAATCATATTCAAACTGCGCTCAATAAAAATCAAAGCCACTGAAGAATCATCGCATTGGAAACACACAAACGCAATATTCGTCGAAATCCAGGGCAAATGGAAACTTGCACAGCATTAATAAATATTTACAGGCACGTCGCGTCCTCGTCGACGAAATGGCCTACTGGGCAGTTCCAGTCTCGGTCTCAGTTCTGGCAATGAAATCAAATCAAATATGCGCGCTGACGCTTTATATATCGCGCCGAGGCGGCAGCAGGATGGCTCGCTTTGGTGTGCTCACAAGAATTTAAATCATCCGACTTACATGCTACTTACAAGCCAAAGCGCCTATATGTATGCCCCATAAAATGTGAGCAAGACTGAGGGCAAGAGTGGGCAAAAGTGCAAAAGATGAGACGAGACACTGAACAAAAAAGCAGTTTCAGAAGTTATAAAGTAGGATGCAAGTATAATGTACTGGTTAGTGTAAAAATTAACTACAATAACCAAAGAAAAGTAAACTAAATGTTACTCATTTAGATAGTGTAACAAAAAAAATAATATGAACCAAGAATAGAAAGCTATTTGCTTACTTATTTAAAAATTATTTGTTGCATATATTGGACTAAAGAAAATATAGAAACTAAAAAAACAAGCGGCTTTCTATACTTTAAAATTATACTTTATACTTTAAAATTAATAATTACACAAAGACTTCAATAAATTAAAGTTGTGTAAAAAGGAAAAGCAGACAATAAAAATAATGGAAAAATAAACAAAAATAGGTCCTATTCATCTAAAAATTTACATATTAATACACATTAAATGTCTATAAAAGCGCAGAACATCCTTATAGCAAATAATTATTTAAGTATCTATATTTTGCTTTATTTCACCTTTTTTCAATGCTTTTTTAAGACATTTCCATTCGCTCAGTGATCGAAAAGTGGAAGAGCTGGAGCTGAAGCTTTAGCTGGAGCTGGAGTGGAGTGGCGAACGGTCTCTGGCGGGCAGTTTTTGGACAACGCAGCAGCCTGAGACTGACACACCGCCCCGGATAGACAGATAGATAGATGGCCGCCCACTTCGCCTCCTTTGGCGGTGTGCAACAAAAACAAGGTTATTATTTCGGGTTCCGGACGGATGGTGGTGGGTCTTCGCTATTGCCATTGCCATCGCCATTGCCCTTTTATGCACACGGAATTTTTATGAGTTAATTTAATTTATAGTTTTATTATTATGTCCAGTGCATAATAATGGGCAATGGTATCGGAGGTACTTCGCCATCTCCTTCGAATAGTCGTTAAGCTAGGCCTTTCATGCACTTTTCAAGTGTGAACCGCCGCCCAAGGGTGGCCATTCTTGGCCATTTTCTAGCTCCGCGTTGTCTTTCGTTTTTGGGGGGCCAGAACAACTTGTAAACAAGTCGGAATGGCGCATAAATTTAATTTAAACGCCGGGATGCCGGAGAGTATGCTACGATTTTTGCACTGTTGATTTATACGCTAATAAAAGCAATTTCACTGAATGCCAAATGAAAGGAGCTTCAGAATCGGAGTAGCTGACAGACAGACCCAAAAGGGGGAGAAATGGAGATGGGTTGGGGATGGAGAAAGTCGGGAGAAAGCCTGGGCCTGCCTTTGACATTGTAGACAAGCGGTTCAAGTGGTTGCTTCCCAGCTTCCCGGCCATTTTGGCGGCCACTCCAAGTTTTATGTACGCAGCAAATTTAATTATTTACTCTGGCTTTTCGACTTGAGTTTTGCGGGCCAAACTAATGGATTGACCGACTCGACTGCTCCCCCGTTCGCTCCTAGCACTTTTAGAATTATGATTAACTTTGACCTCAGCCAACTGAACTGGCGACCTTAAAGCAGAGCTCTGTTTAAATTCGCTTTTCTGCAGCATTTATTATTATCAATACAATGGCATTGAACAAGTTTGGGACCACCATCGTTACGCTTCCTTTTTTTGCCCCCTAATATTGTTTACATTTTAATAACATGAATACTTAACATGCATTTTACATGCGCGATTTCAGTGCCATTTTATTCAATGTACGCCCGGCAACAAAACATTTAAATTACAAATGTATTAATTTTGCAACAATGAAATACCGACGCGCCACAACAAAGCAGCAGCAGCAGCACAAAATATCGAAACTAAACTAAACGAACATGCCAGGAGCACACATTTTGACTAATGCTGGATGACTTTCAAATGTTTTAAAGCCGACAAAAAGCACACACATGGCCAAAACAATGTTAAGCCAAAAAGAAAGTAACGAAAAACAGGAGCAAAAAAAAGATGAGCGAGCCAGATCCTGAATATTTCACCTGATACATGAATAAAGAGAAGCGAAACGCACACTCATGCCGTTGGGTATTAAGCTTTAATGAAGCAATAAATTTAAAATCCGCCTTTTTATTATGACAAAAAGAGATGCGCACATTGTACCAGAGAGAGAGAGGGAGAGAGGTAGAGAAACAGGAGAGAGAGTGAGGGAAAAGGACAGATAAAGCCGAGCGAAAGAGAGGGCTATCAGTTTGGCGTGTTCGTTAGTATAAATACATAAACCTTTTTAAGCTGTCAAGTGATATGTCAAAATTGATATCCGAGTAATTTAAAATGCATGCAAATATGGCGCATCGACAAAAAACCGAATCGAAATAAGGAGTCGCGGCTAGTTGTTGGCGGCCAGGGAGCAAAGTGCGGCGGCAGGATCCAAACACGTAGGACGCAGGACTCGCAGCCCATTTGCATAAATACGTTTATGTAATGTGAAATGTCAGCGACAGCGTCAAGAACCTCACATGCCCCAAAAATATACACAGGAATGCCACGGAGCTGCCTTCCTCTTTGCAAAAACGCACTCCACTCAACTGAGTTCACTTCTTTTTTTTTGAGCACTTTTTCAGTTCGAAGTTGGTCTTTATATTGCTTTTTTTTCCTTTGCACCCTGCACTGCATTGAAATTCATAACACATCTGATGCATAAACGCCCCCAAGCTGGCTATGGAAATTTCACGCATTTTATTAACACTGCAGGGGGCGTGGCCATGCCTCTCCTGTCACTGACATTGCAAATGAAAACAACAAGGACTAAAAACAATCGAGCAACAGCGGGTGCGAAATGATGGATATATTAATTATAATTTTTACTTTCATGTAGCCATTTCAAATTATTATCGATTGTTTTCCACCCATTCCGCAACGCGGCATATTGTCAACAGATGATATTAATTTTTTGCCTTATTTAAATTTTGGATTAACACAAACAAAAGAGAGTGTAAGTTTTATTCACAAAAGTAGGTTGGAAAGTCAACAAAGAAATTGTAGATAATAAATAATAATAGATACCACAAATCATATTTTAGTTCTTTGAAAAATAAATATAAAAACAAATTGTAAACAACCAAGTTCCCAATATACTTAATATATATTTAAGGAAATATTGCTATCAAATTATTTGAAGTATGGCTTCAGTTCAAAAGCACCTTTCGCTGCTTAATCCAAAGATCAGTGGCAAACCCCTTAAAGTCACTGTCTCGCAAAACATTTTCATGTCTTCAGTTCGCACCTCACTTCATTTTCCGCGGCTGCACTTGGCTTCCGTTTCCACATCCGCTGCTGCAACCTCATTTGCTCCTTCATCTTTCAAAGGCTTTGGTGGCCTCATCCAGTTGCCTATGTTCACTCCATCCTTGTCAGTCTGTCTGAAGGCAACATATGGAGGCGCACACACACTCCTCATTGTTGCTGTTGTTCATATTACACTAGTTTGCACACAAACAAATTGTATACAAAGGATAAGACTTTTTAAATTGTTATGAAATTACTAAAAGTATCCTTAGATGTAATAACATATAGATGGAAAAATTCTATAACCAAAACATTGAAAGCAAACAATCACCTAAGATGAATGTACTCTTTATTGAAGGTTAAGGCAATACAGATCAATATTTTAAAATTATTTTATTATAATCCAAATCCAATTTCTTATGGGAAAAGGATTTTCGGGTAAGATAGTGTTGTTACTGGCTGCATTTTTGGGGCGCGTGCAAAACGTTGATGCATTACTTTCAACTTAACGCGTTTATTGTGCAATATAACGCGCCACACACCATACGGCACACACACACACTCTGTTGGTAGAGCTCCACTGCCATTGCAAAATGTTGCTTATGAATTATTATGAGCCCCATGCACGCATTTTGCATTTGGCTACATTTTATGGCAGCGAAATTTGTTGGTGCCGTTGTCTGCCATCTATTTGCCAGCTAGCCGAAAACTTTCACAGTTGTTCGGCGGAAAATGCAGGCCGCGGTTGCAAGTTGCAAGTGGCAAGTAGCTGCACGCTGCACGCTGCAACCATGACCAGAGAGCCCCAGTTTTTGGGCCATTTATGAGTGATTTGCCAACTGGTTTTTGTTGGCCACCGCATCGTCGCGCGTCCAATTTGGCCGCTGCGAGCTCCAAACTTATTTCCAAGTGCATAATTCATTGTTTCGCCCACATTATTTTCATGTCATAAGTTGGGCAGCTGTTCGCTCCGTCACTACCCGCTATCTGCCAGCAAATTGGCTACGAGGCATATGGAATTAGTTCTATTTTAGTTGGCAACTGGGACTGTCACTGGCAAATATTCTCAGAAACTTCTCGCGGCTTGCAGTTGAAATATAATTTCGTTGAGCATTTAATTGAATTGTTAAGCATTTACATAAAAATAAAAACTAAAAGCTCCAAGAGTTCACAGAAGACAACTGACATTATACCATTAAAAAAGAGTGCTGTAAGCCAATGACAATGACAGCTGGAGAAAAGGTAAAAAGTTGAGAACAACACAAACTTTTTGTAAACTATTTCCACAGAGCATTAATAGTATGAATGTTATGTGTGCATAACATTAAAAGCAGTCAGTCAGAAAACCATAATAACTTGGTTTCTTTAATATTTTATTTTTGAATATTTTTCCAAGTCTACTAATGGCACATCTTTATATTATTACTACTATTCAAATCTAGTCAACATATGACAGAATTTGTGATTTTTCTGGCATTCCAAATAAACCACTCTCTTTTATGCGGCTCTTAAAAAGAGCACCTTTCCTCGACCCAAGTCAAATATGTATTTTTTTTCGTAGGAAAAGCTCACGCTTAATGCATTTGGCAAATCTAGTTAGTTTCTACCGCTGCGGATGCTGTGAATGCTGCTGGCACTGCTCTCTTGCTCCATTTCCTCGGCACCGGAGTCCCAGGACCAGACGCTGTGCACCTTTAAGCAAATTCAAACTCGATTTGCACTCAAACTAAATGTGTTTACTCTTCACTCGCAGGCAAAAACTATTTACGAGAGGTACACGGCAACCTTGCCGGCGGCTTAGTTATTTACATTTGGCTTGGGAGCAACACCTGGCCACGACCACCTTTTTGCCGCTAAAAACACCCACAGTTCTACCTGGGAATGTAAGCCATTTCGTGCACCTTTCAACGCTGCGAGGCAAAGATGCTTCATCAGCCACTGAACGCGCTCCCACTTTTCCACCCATCGGAGAGCTTCAACTTTTCCCCCCCTTGGACAGCATCAATTGCACCCAAAATAACTGGTAGCCGATTGTTTC